GTAGCACATAAAAAGTTTTGATAGATAGAATGGTTCAGGTTTAGTAGAGTAGTAAAGGTTTGGAAAATATAATAGTTCAGGTTTAATAGAGTAGTAAAGGTTTGGAAAAATATAATAGTTCAGGTTTAATAAAGTAGTAAAGGTTTGGAAAAATATAAACGTTTAGGTTTAATAGAGGAGTAAAGGTTTGGAAAAATATAATTGTTTAGGTTTAATAGAGTAGTAAAGGTTTGGAAAATATAATAGTTATATCATTGGAGACCCATTTTCTATCATTGGAGACCCATTTTCATCATTGGATTCCCATTTTCATCTTTGGACAACTCGTTTTTCATTTGAAAACTCTTTTTTAATAATGTTGTCAGAATTCCCCTTTTTTAAAGTACAGCCACCCTTTTCCTTTCGGGATAAAATTGTTTTGGGATCTTAATTTTTGAAAGATCAAGAAAATCCTGAAGGAATTCAGTCTTTTCTTCAACCTCAAATTTTCGATTCCAATATTTTGTTTAACCTGAGGCCGAATTTAAAGAATTTGAGCGGTGGCCTAATTATGGTTGGTTTCACTTAAAATTGTATTCAATGTCTCAAGATTTAGGCCGGCGCTCAATTGAAACCGGTTTTTGGTGGATTTTAGACGCGGCTAAAATTCATTAAATTCGACCTCTGATGACATAAACCTTTGATATTTCAAATTAGATTATTTGATCTAACAGAGTTACAGCATTCATTATTTGAATTGTCCGTGACAATGCAAAGATGCAGGGATTAAAAAAAGAGTTTGTGGCAATTTCTTTTGTAATAGCTCTGATATTGTTAGAAATTGTTTTTCTGGAGAAATAAAAAGTTTGTTTTATTAAAAAGTCAATGATTTCTCTCATGTTAAACATTAAAAATGTAAAGAATCAAATTCGAAAACTTTAAAAATAAATAAATATGACGATCTGAAGCTTAAATTTGGTCTTCTGCCTTGAGATATATAACATATAAATATATAATTAATGTATAGTCGAAAACAATAACAAAAAACTTAGTTAGTTTTTACATATATCGTCAATAGTTTCAGCTATTTCATCATAATTACATCCGTCTAAGACATTTTGATTGGACCGGATTAATAGTAAATCTTTTAACAGTGGAATTCTCCACGCGTTTTCAGCCGGATTCGCGTAAATCATATTTGACTTTACTAGAGACATTTTCAAAGATAGTTTATCAACATAGGTTTCATTTGCAATATTAGATAAATTCGTACATAATTTTGTTCTTTGGTCATTTTGCATAAATCAAACAATAGTCGGATGCTGAGCTTGCGACTTTTACACATAGATTCGCAAAATGATACAAATCGGCTACACAACATAGTTTTTAAAATATATATCTATGAAGATATACTCTTTTGTATAGATATTTGCATATATATACAGTGGCTGCGGTTTTCAGCTACAAACCCACTCGGCGCTTGTGTCCTAAGTGGTTGCCCGCGCAAGCATAAACCAGTGCACTATGCTAAGTTACCCCAATTCTTATTGGAAATGCCAGTGCGATGGCTAGGGGGCCGGTAGTTTTTCGGAGCTAACAGCTGCATCATAATAGATAGATAGATATAATATAGATGTATATGTTCTTCTTCTATAATTGTAAGGGGCCCCCTTTTCAGTTTATGTAGGTACCGGGTTCCGGATACCGGGTACCGGATACCGGGTTCCGGATACCGGGTACCGGATAAAGAAAGATCAAACAAGATATTGTACAAAGGATTAAGATAATCAATCTGTGTAATTGTACCTTTTGTTCTTAACACTGGCTAGTCAAACAACGTTCACAATAATATCCATTGGTAGGTGTAAATCATGAATTTGGATTGGTACGTTTTCAGAATTAGTTTCTTTTTAATTATTAAATAACGATGAAAATAAATAAAGAAAAAAATCTATAGTAAACTACTTAAATGTTTAAGAACATATTTTTCAAAAGAAATTTGTCAAAAATCGAATTTAGAATTAATTATTTCCTTTTTCATTATTATATTGATTTTCTTATTTTCTATGAATTTGTAAACAGATCTTTGTGATTAAAGAGGGATTACAGAAACTAATAATTGAATAAGATTACATTTTCTGTTGTCGTTATTAAATAATTTTTAAAAAAATACTGAAAGCGTATCCACCCAAAAGTACGATTTTGAACGTCGACTTTGCGTTCAAACTCAGGATTTACAGATCTTTAAAAAGTTTTATATGTCTCAAATGAATCCTAAAGAATTTGTCCACAACACTGCATACTCAGTTCAACTACCTCACATAGCCGGTCTGTCCCTTTAAATTGTAACAGAGTTCAGTAGTTCAAAGACGACATTTGAATTTGTTTGATGGAATTCTCTCTAATATGTAAAATTCTATTTTCTGGAAATAAATCCAAGAAAGTTTGTAATTGACAGGATAATTAAGCCAGGTATAATGAGATATCGGGAAAACTAATGCTGGGAAGATGTTTCTTTAAACTACAGGCCTTTGAAGACGACAAAAATATTGCTAAAAAAGGGTTCAGGCTGTTAAATCCAAGCCACAGGGTTTGGCATGGATTCTCGAATGTGAAGTTAGGGCTCTCTAATGAAAAGTGTATGCTCCCCGAAGAACATATGGGTGTCTTCAATTAAAATTGGGGGTTTTTGATAAAAAAGTTTGTGTGTTTACGATAAAATCTTGGGTTCTTCTATGAAAAGCTTGGGGTCTTTAATGAAAATATTGGAGTCTCCGACGATAATCTGTGGTTTTTAGACATAATCCAATGAAATCTATATATAATATAAAGGGCTACCCAAAAAAATAACACTGTGAAGGCGACTTGAAACTCTTTAAAAATGACGATTCCAAGGTTGAATTAATTATACTGTCTTTCCTATAATCTTTTAATGTCCTGTTTAATGATTTGGATAATAAAGAAAAAGTTTATAAATGCATAACTATAAAGAATAGACAGTAAAAAGTCCGTACAGTCGTCTCTGAAGTCTCATCCTTTGTAGGTAACCCTGTTTAGAAGCAAAGAACTTTATAATTTAGATGTAATCAGGTATTAATAGAATCCTGAAGAGAAATTGAGAAATTGTGTGTGGGTGTTTCAGAGCTACTGTTGATCCAGCTCTTATATGTATTGATTCATTCATGAGTACAGGACTAGGGGGGGGGGGGTCGTCATTGGAAACATTTTCTATCATTGGAGACCCATTTTCTATCATTGGAGACCCATTTTCATCATTGGATTCCCATTTTCATCTTTGGACAACTCGTTTTTCATTTGAAAACTCTTTTTTAATAATGTTGTCAGAATTCCCCTTTTTTAAAGTACAGCCACCCTTTTCCTTTCGGGATAAAATTGTTTTGGGATCTTAATTTTTGAAAGATCAAGAAAATCCTGAAGGAATTCAGTCTTTTCTTCAACCTCAAATTTTCGATTCCAATATTTTGTTTAACCTGAGGCCGAATTTAAAGAATTTGAGCGGTGGCCTAATTATGGTTGGTTTCACTTAAAATTGTATTCAATGTCTCAAGATTTAGGCCGGCGCTCAATTGAAACCGGTTTTTGGTGGATTTTAGACGCGGCTAAAATTCATTAAATTCGACCTCTGATGACATAAACCTTTGATATTTCAAATTAGATTATTTGATCTAACAGAGTTACAGCATTCATTATTTGAATTGTCCGTGACAATGCAAAGATGCAGGGATTAAAAAAAGAGTTTGTGGCAATTTCTTTTGTAATAGCTCTGATATTGTTAGAAATTGTTTTTCTGGAGAAATAAAAAGTTTGTTTTATTAAAAAGTCAATGATTTCTCTCATGTTAAACATTAAAAATGTAAAGAATCAAATTCGAAAACTTTAAAAATAAATAAATATGACGATCTGAAGCTTAAATTTGGTCTTCTGCCTTGAGATATATAACATATAAATATATAATTAATGTATAGTCGAAAACAATAACAAAAAACTTAGTTAGTTTTTACATATATCGTCAATAGTTTCAGCTATTTCATCATAATTACATCCGTCTAAGACATTTTGATTGGACCGGATTAATAGTAAATCTTTTAACAGTGGAATTCTCCACGCGTTTTCAGCCGGATTCGCGTAAATCATATTTGACTTTACTAGAGACATTTTCAAAGATAGTTTATCAACATAGGTTTCATTTGCAATATTAGATAAATTCGTACATAATTTTGTTCTTTGGTCATTTTGCATAAATCAAACAATAGTCGGATGCTGAGCTTGCGACTTTTACACATAGATTCGCAAAATGATACAAATCGGCTACACAACATAGTTTTTAAATGAATTTGTTCAGAAAGGAATTGAGTCTTTGCCACAAACTCTGAAATTATAATCCCTATATTTTTGGAACCCAATGTCGTAAATCTTTGATAATTCAACCTTATATTATTTGATCCAACAGAATTCATAGTTTAAAATATCTAAGCTCTACGACATTGGAATCCAAAGATATAGGGTTTAGAAAAACAGAGTTTGTGGCTAAGACTCAATTCCTTTGTTCAATAAAATATCTTTGAGTTTGTCATGAGTCATGAGTAAGAATAAAGAAAGACTGATCTGAAGTCGCATCCTTTCTGGGTAACTCGATTTTAATTTATCAAGAGCAAATACATAGATAAAAAAAATATTAAATTTTTTTATTATTCTGAAAGGTGAGGTTGCAGAAAACTTGAACCATAAAAAACGTCTAACTTGAACATCATTTTAAAGAATAAACATAGAACACTCGAATTCGTCTTTCCAAGATTTATGGATTTTCTTAAAATTTTTACCCTGAGGCAGAAGCCCAAAGGAGTTCCGCGCAGGCATCGTTAAATCACAAGTCAGAGAGAGAGCATGCGCGCGCGCCTAAGGGTTATTTAGAACGAAAAACCCCAAAATCTTGAAAAGACACAAATCTGTATTGCCATTAATCTATCAATCTCAGCTAAATTTAGATTATTCATTTTCATAATTTTTTTTCAGACGCATCCTTTACAATGGCAGTTCAGATAGACAGAAAGGAGTAAGGATTTGTATTAAATAAACGACTTCTGCTTCTCGCCCCTTTCTCTTGGAAAAATTTTAGTTTTTAATTTCGCACATTAAAAAATGCCCATTTCAAATTTCTTAATTTTCCTTGTTTATATTTGTTGATTTAAAAAAAAATTTGGGAGGCAAAAAATTTAATTTCGACCGACCATAAAAATTCCTGTGGGTTATAAGGTTTTAAAAAAAAATCGATCGGTTTTGCCGTTTTCCGAACAACAGGTATAAAAAACAAAGGGACAAGATAAGCTTCATAGATATTTAAAAGAAAGAAATTTTCAATATTTGCTTATATTTGTAATCTAATTAGATACGGTGATAGGCGATTATATCAATATAATGGAGACGACTTTTTTGTTTAAGTTTGCAAGTGCTTAACAAGAAGCTTTTTCAATTGACAGCTTTTCTTTATTTCCATGTTTCCATGTTCCCATGCTATTTAAAGCTTGATATAAATCAAAAATAAACCGAAAGTCGTCTTCATTATGTTGAAATAATTGTCTACCGCCTTAGATAATTCTTTGACGGATAATTTTTTTATTCATTTTTGAAGTTTTCTAGTTTAAACTTTTTCTCCCACAAACCAAACTTCTGTGCTGAAAATTAACATATTTCAAGGGATTGTTCAGATATTTGAAAATTAACATATTTCAAGGGATTGTTCAGATATTTGAAAGAATGTTTCACTTTCTAAATAATAAAGAAACTTTAAGTTGAAGGTTCTTTAAACTAGAAAGTTTTTTGTGGCGACATTTTTTTTGTTAACAACACATTTCTCAGCATTGACTTTATAATTGCAATTATGATGATTTGTATTGCATGAAAAAATGCATTCTTTAGAAATATTTCGTTTTTTTTAATGCCCAGGGTGTTCCACGAAACATGATAGTCGGTGAATAGTTTAAAATGTCTTCTTCCATAATTTTTCAAGCCGTTTGACAGAAAAGAGAATAATAAAAATTTCTATATTTATTTCAAAGTAAGATACACTTGAGTTTCAATGAAATAAACTGCAAAAAGTCTTCTATCTATATCTAATACTGTATATTGAAGAAGACATTCAAACTATTCACCAACTGTCATGTTTCATGAGTTACCCTGTATTTTAGTAAAATAATGATTTAGCCTGATTAATCGCGAAATTATAAGATATATTTTCAGCACTCGTTGGTTATGAACATATCTAACTTTTAAGAACGAAAACAAAAAGAAAATTTATGCAATTTATTGTTTTTGAAACAAATAAACAATTCACAAAAGAAAAAACACCAATATAAAATGACTGAAATAAAATTAGTTTTAATCTAAAACTAAACATTATAGATTGTTAATGAGCTCTAACAAAACTGATCAGAAAAAGCTGTGAAGTTTCCGAATATTATTTCCTTATGCAATTTCTTGAATGCTATACTTTCCATCCACAGATTATACCGATAGGACACTAGAAAACCATCCACAGATTATACGGATAGAACACTAGGAAACCATCCACAAATTATACGGATAGGACACTAGGAAAGCGTCCACAGATTATACGGATAGGACACTAGGAAACCGTCCACAGATTATACGGATAGGACACTAGGAAATCTTTGTCGTTAAAAGTCGACCCTCATGTTATCAAACCTTCGACTGATCCTTTATATTGTATTCCCAAAATCCGAAAACTAAATAATGGCCAAACAAACAAACTACAATACAAACCCGAAAAACCTCTAAACCCCACTAAGACGTACAAAAAACTTAAGGTTTTAAACAACTTTGAAGAAGAAAAAATTTTTCTCAGAGAACATCTGTAAGCCTTCTAAATGTCGTCATAAGAATTTGCTTTTTTAAAAATTTGTATTTCCTGACGCATCCCGCAGTGCAGGGTTACCCCACAAGAATGTGTCTTCAGAGGCGACTGTACAGAATTTACACTGTTTCTTTGCATCGTCTGCACAGTCTCATGCTTTGTGGGAATTGCTTTAAACATCACAACGACGCAAATAAAGTCCCATGTTCCATCTGTATTATTTGTATCTCACTTGAGAAGTTGAGAGTATTTATCTGGACTCTGCTGCACTGGTCAAAACAGGGTTTATATTCACGATGCAGATGTTTTCACTCAAATATAAGATTGCCGGTTCTTCTAGAAAAATTTTACTTTTTTGCCATGGATTTGAGAATTTTTTGGAATTTACTTTTGATTTTTATGTAAAGATTTAATCCTCATGTTACTGGATGGAATAAGAGGCTTGAATTTTCTATAAATTATAATTTCATATGTACTGCACAGTGGCGTAAATAAGGGGGGTTATTGGGGTTATTTACCCCCCCCCCCTAGAATTTAAAAAGTTGATTTTAAAATTGAATATCTTTTCAATTTGCACGAAAATGTGCAGATACTTCAGATAATTCAGATATTTAGTCAACATATTCTAAATGATTCTAAATTTTAAAGTAATAGTTGTTACAACTATTTTTTTTAATAGAAAAAAAGGGTATGGGCAATGAAAACTACATTTTTACTTCTAAATAATGTCATTTCCATATTATATTTATTTAAGATCTTAACATACCACTACATCGACGACAAGAAAATTTTAGAAATTAAAAATAAGAATAAATGCAAAAAGCCAATACTTGTTCAAAGTTTTACAGAGTAGCTTTTCTAAAGATTTAAAAAAGTAACATCTTTTTCCTCTTAGAGTAAAACTATTATTATATTACAGAATCCTTATTTACGCCCCTGATACTGCATTTTGTAATAACTGTTTCTTTTGCTTTTTAACTGAAAAAAATCCTTTCCAAATACTAATTTCCATATTTGTATTTAACTAAACCTCTCGCTGAAAAAAGGCGGAAAATGAATTGAAAATATAGAAATTTAATATTTTTTCTTGGAATTAAATTTTGTTTCAAATATATAAAATATAGAGAATACAAAGTTACGCTCTGTTCAGAATTCAACCTTTATAATAACCTAGAAATATCTAAATTAAATTTAAACTTCATAAATTAGAAAATATGCCTAATTTCACCTGCACACTAATATAAAATATTGCATTTTCCCTAAAAAAGGTTTCCTGAAATTTTGAGCAAAATCGGAGATATTGATCACAAAGTGCGGTGATTAGACTTTGAATGAGTAATGACCCAAAGGGATATATTCTGCTAATTTCCGTTCTCGTTTTTTGTTTGTAGTTTAGAAGTCTCTTTTGTTGAGAAATCACAATTAAAAAGCATCGATTTTTAGATGAAAAAAATTAACGATTAGACATAATGTTTAGAGGGTGCCGTAGCCAATCTTGAATGTAATAATTGTAATAAGTGTCACTTGAAAAGACGTTAGCAGTCTCTTTATTTCTCATTTTCACCTTATTGCAACTCCGTCATTCATTCTAAATCCACTTTATCCCAAGAAAATTAAATTCTAAGTATCTCCAGCTCTCCCATAAATTCTCAGGTTTAATTTTATAAAAGAACATTCATTGTTTTACGTTACACAATAAAATAGTATCACAAACACGCCATTTACTGTCAGTATCCAACTGAAGTTGTTTGTGAACAATCCTTGATTCCTTTTATAGATAGTAATCATCAACCCAATTTTATCCAATTGAAACTCCTGCTCCATGAGGGAGGGAACCCCCGGACGCCATGAGCCTCCTCTATTGAGACACGAGTCTCCCACATTTGCCAGGCAGACCGAGCCTCCACTATGCAGAACAAGCTTCCGTTATGCAGACCGTGTCTCCGCTATGCAGTGAACGAACCTCCACCATACAGCAGAGATTTTTTTAAATCTTGGTTTTAAGTGCAATGAAAAATTTAACATATTTTTTTTGACGTAGAGGCAAAATGTTTTACTAAGATTAGTTATTTATTGATTGTCATGATTAGAAACATAAATGGATTTATACTTAAACTGTAAGCATTTCTTACGCAGAAAGGAAGATATTTGGAGAAATATTTCTGAAGTAAACTTATTTTGTTTTGTTGTAATCTTTGATTTAAACAATACCTTTCTTTAAAATGTTAAGATTTTCCTAAATGATACAAATTTTCTAGGTTTAATTTAAACTACAAAAATGGTATCGCTTAAATCAAAGATTGTAAAAAATTAAATGAAATTTAATTAAATTTTTTTCTATGAATATTTTTTCGGGGGGTAAAAATGTTTAGTGTTTTATATACCACTTTATTAGTCATAATTAGGCACTATTTATGATATTTTATAAATACTTCCCATCTTTGAGAAACCTCACAAGCCACTAAGCCGAAAAAGCTGTAAAAAATCTTTTATCTAAACTTAAAACACAAGTTTAAAAAACCTCCTGTATTACACAAGCACATTTTGATCTATTGCACATGCTCATAACTGCATAGCGGAGGCTCAGTCTGCCTAGCAAATCTGGGAGGCTCATGTCTGCATAGCAGAGGCTCATGGTGTCCCTCCCTCGCCCCAATGATGGAAAGATTGGCAAAGTTTGAGATTAGTTGATTTCATCTTTCTCTCAGCCAACTTTTATAAAATCCACCCCCACCCCCTTTATAACCACCCTCCCCCCGGCCCTCCCTTCCACTCGATTTTAAAAGATTATTTGATAACAATTTAAAGGGACTGTCATTGTAATTCTAAGTAGTACCTAATTCACAACGATACCTTTTAAACCTTTATCACTTTACTAAAGACACCACAATTTAAAGGTTTAAGGCATAGAATGCAAATGCATCCTTGACCAGATAAAGCTTTTAGTCGAATATTCCACTCTATACATATCAACGGACATCTGAAGTGTTAAACTGTTGTGAATCGTTTATGGCAACTCTTAAATTGATTGAAATGTGATTTTTAAGTCTTCATTTTGTTTTAGGGACCCAGCACACTCATTTAAAGATGGAAGAACGTTTACTATTATGGACAAATTCAGGAATTTTACTTTATATTTGTAAAAATTCATTAAATTATTAATCATGATGATTGCGATCATTTTATATTGTTTTGATAAAAATTATTGATAATATGTAAATTATAAAAATTACATTGACTATGATGATGATGATGATGATGATGATGATGATACTGATAATGATGATGATGAATGATGATGATGAATGATGATGATGATGATGATGATAATAAGATGCTAAATGATGATGTGATGATGATGATGATGATGATGATGATGATGATGATGATGATGATGATGATGATGATGATGATGAAGTATATCTTGAACCAGATCAACTGAAAAAGTTGTGTTTGTCTGGAGTTTACAAGATCTGATCCAGCAAGGTTAGATGTAAATTTTTTATCATTTTTTATCTTTGCAATTTGATGATGTAACCTTTGATATTTGACTGTTTGATCCAGGTCCATGAGACATTAGGTTGTAAAGAAAATTTGAGTTACCGGTCCCTTAGTTGATGTGACATTGGTTCAAATATCAGTAAATTCAGAGAAAAAATAAAGGTTTTTTAATCTGATACATATAATCACATATTTGATTTTAATTTCAAAATGTAAAAATATATTTGAAAGAAACATTGTTGTAAAACTATCGTTATAAATAATAAATATAAAATATTTTCGTGGATTCTCTGAAAATAAACTTTGTTTTAGTTTAAAACAAGAAAAATGCACAATGCACAATGCACAATGCATTACTAGCACAACTGTGAGATAATGCAGTTTGTATCTTATAAAGTGCATCCTAAAACTGTTTCAATGATATTTCTCTTTTTTCACTGAGTCAATGGTCTGGGGAGGCTTGAGTTTGATACGAACAGAATAACAATAGACAAACCTAAACAAAACAATTTTAAGCAATTCCAACTTTTTAAATATAGTCTAAAAGTAGGACTGGACACATCTAGTCCTGAAGTAGGACTGGGCACATCTAGTCCTGAAGTAGGACTGGACACATCTAGTCCAGAAGTAGGACTGGGCACATCTAGTCCAGAAGTAGGACTGGACACATCTAGTCCAGAAGAAGGACTAAACACATCTAGTCCAGAAGTAGGACTGGATACATCTAGTCCAGGAGGACTGGACACATCTAGTCCGGAAGTAGGACTGGACACATCTAATTCAGGAGGACTGGACACATCTAGTCCAGAAGGAGGACTGGACACATCTAGTCCGGAAGTAGGACTGCACACATCTAGTCCAGAAGTAGGACTGGACACATCTAGTCCAGAAGAAGGACTGAACACATCTAGTCCAGAAGTAGAACTGAACACATCTAGTCCAGAAGTAGGACTGGACACATCTATTCCAGAAGTAGGACTGGACACATCTAGTCCAGAAGGAGGACTGGACACATCTAATCCAGAAGGAGGACTGAACACATCTAGTGCAGAAGGACTGGGAACATCTAGTCCAGAAGTAGGACTGGACACATCTAGTCCAGAAGTAGGACTGGACACATTTAGTCCGGAAGTAGGACTGAACACATCTATTCCAGAAGTAGGACTGCACAAATCTAGTCCAGAAGTAGGACTGCACACATCTAGTCCAGAAGTAGGACTGAACACATCTAGTCCAGAAGTAGGACTGGACACATCTAGTCCAGAAAGAGGACTGGACACATCTAATCCAGAAGTAGGACTGGGCACATCTAGTCCGGAAGTAGGACTGGACACATCTAGTCCAGAAGTAGGACTGGACACATCTAGTTCAGAAGTAGGAATGGACACATCTAGTCCAGAAGTAGGACTGGAGACATCTAGTCCAGAAGGAGGAATGGACACATCTAGTTCAGAAGTAGGACTGTACACATCTAGTCCAGAAGTAGGACTGGGCACATCTAGTCCAGAAGTAGGACTGGACACATCTAGTCCAGAAGTAGGACTGGGCACATCTAGTCCAGATGTAGGACTGGAAAGATCTAGTCCAGAAGTAGGACTGGACACATCTAGTCCAGATGTAGGACTCAACACATCTAGTCCTGAAGTAGGACTGGACACATCTAGTCCAGAAGTAGGACTGGACACATCTAGTCCAGAAGTAGGACTGGACACATCTAGTCCAGAAGTAGGACTAGGCACATCTAGTCCAGAATTAGGACGGGACACATCTAGTCCAGAAGTGGACTGGACACATCTAGTCCAGAAGTAGGACTGGACACATCTAGTCCAGAAGTAGGACTGGACACATCTAGTCCAGAAGGAGGACTGGACACATCTAGTCCGGAAGTAGGACTGGATTTGATTTGATTTGGACCATTCGCTAATAATTTCTGACCGGTAAAGGTTTTTTATTGTTAAACGGGAAATTTTTACGATTATTAATGTTTGACAATTTCCGGTCGTTGATGGCTTTTATAATTAATGTTTGACAATTTCCGGTCGTTTGATAATTATAAGAATATTGATTGATAATCAATATTTTATGATTATGGTTTATAACTTTTTTTATTGACAATAATGGGCAATTGTTAAAGGTAGGTTAGTAATTTAACTATTCTGGGGGTTAATTAATTACAAATGATTACTGATTTTCAAATTTTCAATTTAAAGCGTGATTTATATCCTTCGCATATTATCCATTAGAGTGTCCAATTTTCCGTCAGAATTTTTTTCGACGGAAATAATTTTCCGTCACGGAAATTTCCGCCTGAAGCTGGAAATGTCGGAAAATTTTCCGCTTATAAAGTTTTTCCAGAATTTCCGACGTAAAAACGGAAATGAAACTTTCGGTAGATACTCTATTATCCATTCTTTTGATTGTTAACTTAATTAACAATCTTTTTTCTTTACATATGCCCAGTCCTATTTACATATGCCCAGTCCTATTTACATATGCCCAGTCCTATTTACATATGCCCAGTCCTATTTACATATGTCCAGTCCTATTTACATATGCCCATTTACATGTGCCCAGTCCTATTTACATATGCCCAGTCCTATTTACATATGTCCAGTCCTATTTACATATGTCCAGTCCTATTTACATATGCCCAGTCCTAATTACATATGCCAGTCCTATTTGTGTAAAACAATTTTATATTCTCTGTGCACTGGAACTCCAGGCTCATTTATTCTACATAATGGTATTAAAAACATTCTGCAACTCTTACAAGTTAAAGGGACTAAAGACGTAATTTCAAGTAACCCTCAATTAAAAAAATGACATGTCCAATTGATAATAATCCCACAAACCTTTATCTGATCATTCCAGTGTTATCTTTATTTCCCAGACAAAAGTGTAAAGAGTGCCTTTGTGAATCTGACCTATCCCTTAAAATGGAGAGTAACTTCAAATTACGTGTCCAGTCTCTTTAATGGTATAAAAAACATGCTGGAACTTACACAAGTTAGAATTCAATTTTATATCCCTAGGGTACTGTTTACTGTTTACCCTAGTTCAGTCTTATAGAACGATATTAGAAATTGGAAAATACTGTGCATAAAACATTAACCATTGAACATTGAACATTAAATATCGAATATTGAACAATGAACATTGAACATTGAACATTGAACATTGAATATTGAACATTGAACATTGAACATTGAACATTGAACATTGAACATTGAATATTGAATATTGAATACTGAACATTGAACATTGAACATTGAACAATGAACATTGAACATTGAACATTGAACATCGTTTTACACGGCACAATCGTTGTGCCTAATGTTCACTGGACTATTTAAAGTCATAACTTGAGCTTAAAAGTGGACTTCTATTCCAGAGTTGTCTTTTTATCAATGTATGTTTCATGCATATACTTTCATTTAGATAATGTACCATACTGTCCATAACTAATAATCTATAGAATGTTCAAGTTATGAAATATCCTTTTTAAGAAATTCCCAATTTACAAAAATGACCTGCCATGAAATTTACTGTTTAAAGAATGTCCTTTCTATGAAATGTTCTAGAAATTAAATGTCCTTTCTATGAAATGTTTTACGTATATGAAATGTCATATCTATGAAATGTCCTATCTATGAAATTTCCTAAATATTACATGTCCTCAATATTATATATCCTATCTATGAAATGTCCTAAATATTAAATGTCCTATCTATGAAATATCCTATCTATGAAATGTCCTATCTATGAAATGTCCTATCTATGAAATGTCCTATGAAATGTCCCATCTTTGAAATGTCGCATCTATGAAATGTTCTATCTATGAAATGTCCTATCTATGAAATGTCCTATCTATGAAATGTCCTCTCTATTAAATGTCTTATCTATGAAATGTCCTATCTATGAAATGTCCTATCTATAAAAAGTCCTATCTATAAAATGTCCTATCTATGAAATGTCCTATCTATGAAATGTCCTATCTATGAAATGTCTTATCTATGAAATGTCCTATCTATAAAATGTTCTATCTATGAAATGTCCTATCTATGAAATGTCCTGTCTATGAAATGTCCTATCTATAAAATGTCCTATCTATAAAATGTCCTATCTATGAAATGTCCTATCTATGAAATGTCCTGTCTATGAAATGGAACGTTGAAATGAATTATATCCTGTAGGACGGGATCTGATCGGGTACGGGCAGGAGGAGGAGGTTTGGGTTGTACTTGAAGAAGATGGAACAGAGGTAACTAATTTTTTAATAAAGGATTTGAGTTGTGCAACATGATGGTGTAAACCTTTGATATTTCAAACTGAACAAATTTGATCTTACACAATTCATATTTTGAAATATCTATATAAAAGTCCATTTTTAACCAGTTTTAACATTAGAACCCAATTTTACCCAATTAATGTAGATTTTTACCCAAAAAATGTAGATTTTTACTCATTAAATGTAGCTTTTTACCCATTAAATGTTTATATTTACCCATTAAATGTAGATATTTATCCATTAAATGTTGATATTTACCCATTAAATGTAGATTTTTACCCACTACGTTTAGATATTTCCCCATTAAATGTAGATTTTTACTTATTAAATGTAGATTTTTTTCGTATCTGCTATTTTATACTTTTTGATTCTGCTGTGCAATTAAAATATTCAGGTTTATATAGTCTATAATTACGCTTTTGTTGACAAATGTTGAATGTAAGATCAGAAGTGACTGAAAATATTTCGATGCAGACAGGATTCACATGGCACATTGCACATTGCACATTGTTGTTATTAGTTTGACGCGAGATCGAAACTAATAAACTAATCAACGTCCAATTACCGAAAGTAAAAAATTGTCCAGAGGCCGACACCAATTAATGTTCAGAAGCCGAAACTAATAAATGTCTAGAGGTCGAAACTAATAAATATATCTAGAGGTTGAAACTAAAAAATATCTTGAGGTCGAAACTAATAATTGTCTAGAGGTCGAAACTAATAAATGTCCAGAGACCGAAACAAATAAATGTTCAGAGGTCGAAAATAATAATTATCTAGAGGCCGAAGCTAATAAATGTCCAGAGACCGAAACTAATAAATGTCCAGAGGTCGAAAATAATAATTATCTAGAGGCCGAAGCTAATAAATGTCCAGAGGCCGAAACTAATAAATGTTCTGAGGCCGAAACTAACAAAAACCAACGGCCTAAACTAATAAATATCAAGAGGCGAAATCTAATAAATGTCCAGAGGACGAAACTAATAAATATCCAGAGGCCAAAACTAATAAACGTCCAGAGACCAAATCTAATAAATGTCCAGAGGCCAAAACTAATAAACGTCCAGAGACCAAATCTAATAAATGTCCTGAAGCCAAGAACTATTAAATGTCCAGAGGCCGAGAACTTTTAAATATCCAAAGGCCGGAAACTAATAATTGTCCAGAAGTCGAAAACTAACAAATATCCAGAGACCGAAAACTAATGAATAGTTATTAGTATTTAAATTAGATTCGGATAGGATGGAAGTTATTCAACAGATTTTAAGACTGCATCAAGTGCTGCAACGTCATGTCTTTTAATTTTACATCACTTCACCGCTTAACTGTTTGCAGCCTTGGACTGTTAATTTTAAAACTACAATGATCTTGTTTCAAAGATTTGGTTGTAAAGGAGTAATTAATTGTCAAAATCCAGATACATTTTTGTATCAGAGCGTTTAAAATATTACGTAATAGCTGCATGAAGGGCTCGGCGTTGCTCGTGGAAATAAAATGAAAAAAAAAATTGGAAAAAAAATTTCCCCGGCCACCCATGAGTGTCCCCAAAAAACGTCAGCCCAATCGGTCCAGCTGTTTGGCCGGCAATACGCAACATATATATATACGCAGCATATATAAATACGAATGTCTTTTTTTATTATATAGATATATATCTATATATAAATTTGGCTTGTCTGTTTGTTTGTCTGTTTGTATCCAATAAACGTCAAAACGGCTGAACCGATCGGGCCCAAATTTTTTGTGGGACATCACGTGACCACAGGGAAGGTTTATGAATGATAAAAATAAAAAAATGTGTCTTAAAGGTTTTTAATTTTGTAAAAAAATTTGAATTCTTGAAAATCCGATAACTAACTAACCAGAATTATTTACTTACACTGAAAAAAGGTTTAAAGATGGCTGATAAATTCCATCCACTCTTGTCGCAATTTCAATACTTTGTATGACTAGTAAACGCTTATGAGTATAAGACTAATATTAAGGTTGATGAAGATGAGTATAAGACTATTATTAAGGTTGATGATGATGATGAGTATAAGAGTAATCTTAACGTTGATGATGATGTGTAAAAAACTAATATTAAGGTTGATTATGATGAGTATAAGAGTAATATTAAGGTTGATGATGATGATGAGTATTAGAGTAATTTTTAAGTTTGATAATGACGAGTATAAGACTAATATTAAGGTTGATGAAGATGAGTATAAGTCTTATATTAAGGTTGATGAATATGAGTATAAGACTAATATTAAGGTTGATGATGATAAGTCTAAGTCTAATATTAAGGTTGATGAAGATGAGTATGACTAATATTAAGGTTGATGATGATGAGTATAAGACTAATAATAAGGTTGATGATGAAAATTATAAGAGTAATATTAAGGTTGATGAAGATGAGTATCTTGAACTTCTACCTGAAAGAACTGCCCTTATGATTCTCTCCCGGGATCAACTCTGGTCTCCAACCCTGACAACCCATGGGTGAACATTCGTTTTAACAATTGTTAATAATTCTTAAAAAATGTTTAACAATTCTTCCAAAAATCTTTAAAGATGCACAAACTTAAATTGGCTAATCCCCATATCTTTGCAACCTGATGGTGTTAACCTTTATTTGATCAACCAACATTTATAGTTTGTTATGGATACGACTTTGGGTTTTAAAAAAAATTGGAAATACAGGGTGTCCCACATAAACATAGGAATTAAGAGACGACTTGGAAGTCGTCTTTAATTTCTGATATTCAAGGCACGGCATAGAAAGTAATAAAAACGAGGCTGCGCGTCTTTCGAGCTTTTCATAAAGTGGTCTATTTTTACCTTTCTCGTGTCTTAAAAATTGACAAAGATATTAGATGTTTAGACAATTTTAATTTACGAGAAACCACACAAAATTTTAGCCCGATCGTTTTAGCTGTTTTGACGTTTATTAGATACAAACAAACAAACAGATATATAGATTAAATAAATTTAAATTGAAGATACTTAATGGTATAAATCACATTTTTAAAAACTCAAGATCAGATGTTTTCGATATTAGATGTTTAAACTGGAATAATTGTGTTCATTAAAAAATGCCACAAAGACTCAATTTTTCAGTGAAATAGGTCGAAAAAATGCGTTGTAATGATTAATATTATTTTTAGATCCTGCTTCTTTGAGAATGGCGAGAGTTTACCTGCCAGTTACCTCGCTTCTGCGTTGATAAACCATCTCAAGGCAAATGTTCGTGTACAGTCAAATTATGGCGGGAATATTGAAGAAGACGACTTTCCAGTTCTGTTTGTCCAAGAGGAAGGGGTCAGTCAGCTGAAACTAAACTAGAAATATACTGCGGTCATAGCAACAATTACGTTTTTTTACAAATTTAATACAAATATTAGACAAGGAATTAATAATGCATGAAAATAAAATATTCGTTTGTCCTCGAAATCCACAGTTCTACAAAAATAATCACCAAACAAACACTTCATTTTATTACAAATATTCATGTTAATAATATATGATTTGATTTGATTTGAAATAACGAGTTTTCAGCTACTAACAAACACAAAAAGATTTTAAAAAATAATTAATCACAATTATTTGTTTTCATTATGCAAAATAATTTAATAGGAATTTGAATTTGCACATCTTAAAATTGGCATAAAAATAGAACTAAAAGACATCAGTATTCAATTGCGCTTTTTTTGGTCTTTCCGAGTTTTATGAAAAATTTGATCAAATCTAATCTAAAAATATGTAAAATATATTTACTATTAACAAACAGCTCAACTTTTTCCTCTCCGTTTATTGGAGAAAGATATTGAACAGATTACACCTTTTTTTCGAAATCTGATGAAAAATTATTTACTATAAATGAAGTTTATGAACATGCTTAACATGTTTATGGAAGAAACCTAAACTGCCATAAAACATATATTTGATTAATTCTATAATTAGATTTAGATCATGACTTCTGTACAACAAAATGTTGTGAAAAATTTGCCATTAGAAAAATTTAGAAAATACAATAACTTAAAGTAGTTATTGTCCAAGGATATCAAAATAAATTAATTCAGTGTCCGAATTTAATGAATTTGAGCCGCGTCTAAAATCCGCCAAAAACAGGTTTCAAATGAGCGCCGGCTTCAATCTTGAAATAATGAATATGATTTTAAGTGGAGCCAACCAAATTCCTTAAATTCGGCCTTAGTTTCAATTTTTTTCTTTTCTTTTTAAGTTAAACCATAGCTTCAGGGTTACTTACAAAGGAAGAGACTATACAAAATACTTTTAATACTTAATTAAATGGACTGTTTGCGTAATTTCAATAGAAAACTAAATTCACTTCAGGTTCTTTTTAGTTTCTAATTGTCATTTGCATTCTCATATTTTGTGTAGAACTTTTCTTCATTACTTAAAAATTGATTATAACAATTAAATTTATAATTTTTTAACAAAACAGTTTTGAACCCATGCACAAATATTAACCTGAAACTTTTTTTTAAAGAACAACAAAAATTGTATTGTAGTTAGAAATTTTTGAAAACTTTTAAATGTTTTGTTTCTTTTATTTATTCTTGTGAAACACACTGGTGCGTTATTGTAAACATATAATTAGATACAAATAAAAATTAGATCAATCTTTTTAACCTTTTGTGTGACCAATTTTAGGATAAGAGGTGGTTGATTACAAAGTGAGATGATTAGCTGAACCAACCCGTTCTTAAAATCATAAATTTAAACTTTGGAGTTTTTATTAATAATTTTAACAAAAGACGACATTTTAAAGTCGATCAATTTTTCTCCCGAATAATGATACATTTTAGAACATAATGCTTATAAACTTTTTTATTTGATAATTTTTACATTGCTTTCGAGGTTTCCATTTATTTCCGGACCATGGACCCGAATAGGTCTTACGGAACCTTTCCTGAAGCCTTTGCTAGACACAGTAGTTGAGCTGAAAATGCAGTATTGTAGAGAAAAAATTTTATTTAATACCAATCAGACAATTTTTAAGTAAGAGCGTAACATTTGGTGTGACATTTTGAAAAAAAGTTTACAATTTTTCCACATGGAATTGATCCGGAGAAATCGTCCCAAAACGAGTAATTTTTTTTTTTTTAGCAGGTTGAGGTCACACGCAGCTCTGTACAGAATCCAGTAGGCTGATATTTTCTTAATTTGGGTTAAAAAGGCTCCGCCGATAATTACAAATGTTTTTAATGGTTTATAATTCATAAGAGCTTTGGGAAAGGTTCCGTAAGGCCTTTACGGGTCCAAAAAGATCAAGAAAAAATTACAAACCCTATTTTATAAACTAACATTGTGGAGAAACGGAGATTCTCGCAAAAAATGCACTACATTACATTACATGCACTGGTCAACTGAAAATTGAGTGCTTTGAGCAAGGTTGTATAATAAGGTTGTTTACTCTCAATGTACGGAAAATATCGTCTTATTAAGATAGATAAAATCCGTACATGACGTCACTCTGACCTCAATAATCAGTGACGTCATATGAGGATTTTAATCTATCTATGTTTAGGGGACAACATTTCCCGTACATTGGAGCAAACCACACCATTTTTCGTCCGCACAACAAATGACGTCAGAACTCAACATTATTTCGTCCGACCACACATTTTCATCGTCAAGCATTGTTTACATTTTTTAAGTGCTTTGGGTCATGTCATGGTTTAAAATGATTTTTCCATCTGAAAAATGAACATCTTCTGAAGGTACAGTAGGAAAAAATTTGCCATATTGTTCTTCCAACTAAAAACTTTCTTAGAAATTTTGGTCAAAGAATTATGTAACTTTTTTCTTTCTTTCATTTTACATAAAAGTCCTTTTACTTTCTACTTCTTTATTTTTCTCACTTCCAACTTTGCTCAAGCTTAATTTTTCTAATAAATAAGAGTTTTAGTCATAGATGTATAACAACACAGCTATAACACTATATGTCGTCTTTTTAAGATATATGGGCGGTAATGTTACATCGTCTATACGCAACATCCCCCCTACTGTACTTCTGACCTACTAACTTTCCGAGCAACTGCAATATCGGACCTACGCCAGCTGTCTATTTTAGTATTATTTGAGGGTTAGGTTAGGTCAAGACAATTTCTGGGCCAAGCGCTGCGGCTAGGACAGGCTAGGGGGCCGGGCGCTGCGGCCACAAGTCCATATAGCAGCTGTAATACCACGTGCTAGTAGGTCGGATGTGTAGTATAGCGGATTTGGCGTAGGTCAGAAGTGGAGTATGGCGGATATGTGTAGGTCGAAAAATACACCACCATATGGGCTTTTCGTTCAAAACAACTCTGAGGCAGAAGCTTGGAGGAGTAACGTGCATACTCTTTCTATGTCTTGTAATTCAACGCGGCATGCGAGTAACTCCTTTGGGCTTCTGCCTCAGTATTATTTTGAACGAAAAACCCCTTAATATTTAAAAGACGACATCTAGTGGTTTAACTGTTTTTTATTAATCTAAAGTTTGTGTGAATATAGACAGTTAAATGTTATTGAGAAAAAACACACACTCCTGTCCATTCGTGGTATGATCTCATCCGGTTAAAGTATTTATTAATACCAGGATGAAATTTAGTGAATTTAAGCTTGGTTACTGAACTACAGCGGTAGTCGATTATATAAATATAATGAAGACGACTTTTTTATTTAAGTTTTAATTCTTAGCGATAATTTTCCGAATTGCTAGTCTACAAGTAATAAAGAGAAGCTTTATTAATTGACAGCTTCTCTATGCTTCCATGTTTTTGTATCCATGCTGTTTAAAAGCTTGATATAAGTCAAAATGAAAATAAAAAGTCGTCTTTATTGTATTGATATAATCGCCTACCACTGTGTCTATCGCCACAGGATCAGATTTAAAATCATCGATTCAAAGTGAACCCTTTCCCTGTTGGGTTATTTTTTTGCATAATTCATTTGTAAAAATGTTTGCAAAAAAAAGCCCGGTTTTAGACCTAAAGAGTAAAGAGAGGGCCATGAGTGTTTAGGAAGTCAGAAAATTTAACAACCCTTGGTTAATACTTTTGAGTAATATAAAAAAAAACTACAGGGGGGGGTCAAATTGACCACCCCTCTCCTCAGTAGGATTAGGGTTAAAGATGGGCGCACGAGGACTAAAAGTGGCGATTAGGATTTTGAACCCCTTCAGTAGGTAGTTCAACGATCTAGTTTAACGACCTAGTTCAACGACCTAGTTCAACGACCTATCCAATTCATTCAAATCGGTCCCAGGCTAATCATTCTGTAAAAGCAATAAATTAATAACAAGACAGATAAAACACTAGATGTCGTATTTTCAAGATTTAAGGGTTTTCGTTTACAATAACCCTAAGGCAGAGTTCCGCGCAGGCGGCGTTGAATTACAAGACAGGGAGAAAGTATGCCCGTAATTCCTCTGCGCTTCTGCCTCAGAGTTAATGTGAAAGTAAAACCCCTAAATCTTAAAAAGACGACATGTAGTATTCTATCTGTTTTGTTATTAATCTATGGTAAATGCATTTCCTAGTACCGGCAAGGCTTGTGTAACCGTACTTTAAATACTGGTACAGGGCAAAATGCCTCTGAAAATCATAGTTCACACTTCTCCAGGGGGGATTAGCCCCCATAGCCCCCCCTTTCTACACCTTTGATTCTTTCGGTTTTAAGATATAATGCTGAGTTATTAGATCTTTTGTATAGATCAGTTTTTCAATTTGTATTTCCATTTACAAATAAACTAGAAAGTGTAAAGTTTCTCTTTGTATTAATGGGACTGTGTGCGGAATTTCAAGTGAGCTTCTATTCAAAGAACTCCAGTTCGGATTCACAACGGTACCCTTTAAACGTCTTCGACAAATCAAAATTAAGGAGAATACGGTTTGGTCTAGCCAGCAAATTGATTGAAAAAGCCTAACAACAGTTTATTGCAACGATAAATTTTTTTTTTCAATTTTCAATTTGTAATGAAATTAACGGAATACAAAATTTATAGAAGGCTGACACTTTTTTATTTTACTTTCTTTCATTCGTTGTGCACATTTACAGCTTTAGAGGTTTTTCATCATCATTTAAATAAATAATTCGTAACATCGTCTTTGTTGTGAAATTGATTTAAAGTTCATTGTACTTTTGAAAGCTAATATTATATATGTATTATGTATATCAGACATCAATGTAAAAAAATTAAATATGTTTTTTGTTTTCTGTCGCCTTTAGAAGTTATATGAAAAAAACTGAATTCTATGCTTTTTTTAAAAAAACAAATAGATTTTATTCAAGAAAGCGCGGAAAATTCGTTTATTAATCGAATTTTATTTGAATGATTTAGGCTTTTAAGGGTTCCGTTGTTTCCTTAGTGAATGTATGTTTCCAAAGTGAATGTATGTTTCCCTAGTGAATGTATGTTTCCAAAGTGAATGTATGTTTCCAAAGTGAATGTATATCTTTATTTGCTTTTAAACAAAGTTTCTTTCTAAAGTGATTCTTGGAACTGGAAACTTCTCCAAACTACAATTTGATTTAAAAATTATATTTTTTCTTTTCAATTCTTAAATATCCTTTACTTTGCTCTTAATAGATATTTTCAATTTTATTTTTTTATTAGGTAAAAACTATTTATTTACTAACATTTCTTTAGAACTTTTTACACCATTAAATCCCTGATAATTACAATCCTGGAACCAGGGATGTAATGTAGCAGGTTTACAATGCAAAAATCAGAGCTATAATTTTGTCATAATATTGATTAAATTTAAGAAAATTATTCTATTTCCAAGGTGGTGGTCTTCCATCTTTGCAACCAAACATTAGACTGTCCTTCTCGCTCTACAAATATTAGTTATTTCTTCACGGAGTTTTTATTGTAATTTAAAGAGTTGAGTTCTGATTCACAACAGTATCCTTTAAGCTTTGACTGAGCTATTCCTGTGTATCCAAATGAAAATTGATTACTCTCAATTGCGTTTCTCTATGAGTGGGGATTTTAGCAATAAAGAAAAGAAAGAAATTCATAGAAATGATAACTTTTCAAAAGAAAAAAAAGACAATATATATTTCCAATTTTGAAATAGATAAAATTTTAAAGGGAACCGTTACGATTTGGAGAGGAGGGTTTATTCAAATTTAGTGAACAGTGTCTTTAACAGAATTTTTTTGCTCCCCTTTTAGCTGACTCTGATTTGCATAAAACATTTAACTTTTCCCTTCAATGTTTAGATGCTAGTGGATATTGTGCTTTTCCAAGAACATAAAATTCATTAACTTTTTATTACCTGAATATTAATCTCTTTAGGCTCAATCATAACATTCCCGGACTCCAAGAGAGCTCTGATTAAAAATATTATTAAAAAAAATATGAGAAAAAAATAGATTTTTTTCTTTTAAAAAAGACTCTAAAGTGGTGAGGAATACAAATTAAATTATTCACAAGGAAGACATGTTAAAGATTGATACAAATGTAAACCCTATTACAAAAAAGAAGTTATGTTCGAATTGTAAAAAAATCCCCAATTTTAATTACAAGAATCACGCAAAAGGCAAAGAACAAATTGTTAAACCTCTGGGGTATAGAAGATATGAATATATTATTTTCCTTATTTTGGAATTTGTCTCAAAATCTAGATCAAATGATTCCTTATTAGAATTATTAGAATTAANTGATGATGATGATGATGATGATGATGATGATGATGATGATGATGATGATGATGATGATGATGATGATGATGATGATGATGATGATGATGATGATGATGATGATGATGATGATGATGATGATGATGATGATGATGATGATGATGATGATGATGATGATGATGATGATGATGATGATGATGATGATGATGATGATGATGATGATGATGATGATGATGATGATGATAATGATGATGATGATGATGATGATGATGATGATGACATGTTAAACCTACCTGATATTGAGAATCTTTTGATTTCAATATTCCTTTCAACTTTCCTACAACAAAGTTATTTTGATAAATTGCCTTTAAATTGTTCTCATCCCTCCCTCCTTCAAGTTAGCTAAATGAGATCATTAGATTAAGTTTTGATATATCACTTCTGAATTTCACAATATATAATACTTTAGAATAAAAATAAATTTTTTTTTACTTTAGAGAGAAATATATATAAAAAAGTAAGTCCTGATATCGGGATATTCTAGAAAAAAAGAAAAATAAGTTAATAATATTTTTTATTCTTCTAACTTTTTAGCACATCTTTTTATATGGAGCACCATGCAAATATAGTATTTACATGATTGTATTGTATTGTATTGTATTGTATGTATTGTATTGTATTGTATTGTATTGTATTGTATTGTATTGTATTGTATTGTATTGTTTTGTATTGTATTGTATTGTATTGTATTGTATTGTATTTTATTGTATTGTATTGTATTGTATTGTATTGTATTTTTTGTATTGTATTGTATTGTATTGTATTGTATTGTATTGTATTGTATTGTATTGTATTGTATTGTATTGTTATTAATGGGATCTGTTTTATATTTCAATTTACTCTCTGACAGTAACAACGGATAAATAAACTTAAATGTTTTTATAAAGAAAAAGTACACAAACATTGTTATCTATATAATAAAACAACAGTCGTTTATATTTTCCCTAAGGCCGACCAAACGGTTGGACCGAATGGGCTGACATTTTTTGAAGGGACCCATGGGTACCCCAGGGGTAACATGCGCTAAAAAAATCTAATTCATTTTATTTTACGGGCAACGCTGGACACTTTAGCTAGTCTTACATATTGTCACATGAGAAACTTAAATAAAAAAAATAGAATACTAACATTACTAAATTATTGAATTTCGGAATTCCGTTAAAATGTTTGCGCGGAAGTGCAAACATCTCAGACATCTGTTTGCTTGTCTAATTTGCGTATTTTTCGCAAAAACAATCATTTCGCTCAATTTGCAAAACGTATCTGAATTTGCGTTTAAGTCTATAAAAACCGCATTCTGCAAAATTTCTGTGTTAATTTTCACAAGTTGAAAGCGCAAATAATGTGCAATTAGGGCTCAAGAAGAACAGCCTCTAAAATACCGAAAGAGTAAAGAAGGAAACTTATCGTTGTTTAAATGTTTTATGTTACCTTGAGGTTTTCCCGGGTTAAATCCTCTAAGATCTGGTCTGGGAGGTCGAGTGAGAGATCGACCTCTACTCGGAGGTCGGGTCTAAAATGAAAAAATTAAAATAAATACAAAGTTATCAAAATGAAAAGTATTACTGCGAATGAAGTATGTAAATACCACTCCTTCTACAAAGCAGATATCAGATATTCCACTTTACAAAATGGAAGGTTTCTTGAAATTAAGTCTACAGGCATGGACATAAACTTTAATCAATTTAATTTAAATCAAGTTTTAAATCTTTATTTCTGAGTACAGAGGGACCCGTAAAATTGTGGAATTGGATGACGACAGTTAGACTCCAGATATAACCTTAAATAGTCCATTGAACATGTTACTCTAGCCTTTCTTAGTACACAAAACAATTGTGCAGTGTACACAGACCCACTTTTAAAGTTACTGCTAAAGCTAGTTTTTGTAATAACATCAAATACATCCAATTCACAACGGTACCCTTAAAAGTTTTATCAGATCAAGCATGAATTAGATATGTTTATGTTTTCAATTTTGAAAACTGATTATTTTTAATTGTCGTTTCGCTATAAAAGGACTTCCGAATTTCTACATTTATGTATAGAAATTATCAGAATTAAACACTTCTCCATTTTCCTTTTACAAGTAACAATATTCTCCACAATATTGATCAGATAATGGTTTCAAGGGTACCATTGTGAATCTGGCATTGCCATCTTTGTATGGAGGGTCACTTTAAATTAAGCTTACAGTCCCTTTAACAGTTTAGATACCTTGATATCCAATAAAGTATTGCGAAGATACCTTGATATCCAGAATAGTATTAAGAAGATACCTTGATATCCAGTATAGTATTGAGAATATACCTTGATTTTCAGAAAAGTATTGAGAAGATTCCTTGATATCCAAAATAGTATTGCGAAGATACCTTGATATCCAGTATAGTATTGAGAATATACCTTGATTTTCAGAATAGTATTGAGAAGATTCCTTGATATCCAGAATAGTATTGAGAAGATACCTTGATATCCAGTATAGTATTGAGAATATACCTTGATTTTCAGAATAATATTGAGAAGATTCCTTGATATCCAGAATAGTATTGAGAAGATACCTTGATATCCAGAATAGTGTTGAGAAGATACCTTGATATCCACAATAGTGTTGAGAAGATACCTTGATATCCAAAATAGTATTGAGAAGACGAATATTTTCTCTTCTAACTTTAGACCAGTATTCAAGCTCACTAGGATACTGAGTTCTAATCAGAATATATAATATCAGAGATTATTACAGAGTCATTATCATAAAACAAAAGAAATAAGAATTACAAAAAATAGCTAAAAAATAAAATTATATCTCAAGCAGACAAAACATACAAAAACTACATAACAAGATTTTAGAGAAAAAAAATTTTAAACTATTTTGTTTTAATTTCATTATGTAGGATGCTGACTCTGCTAATAGATATAAACTTAAAGAACGATTTTTACCAATTTAGAATAACTTCGAGTTCAATACTAAAGACCGAAAATCTACAGCTTAAATTTCAAATTACAGCTTAAATACCTCTCGTAAATGGTGATTTGAATCAAACCTTAAAGAGAGTATTCGCAAATAATGAAAGAGGGTATATTACTTACGTCAAAAAATATTCGATGGTGATTGCTATTAATCTTACTTTTATCTGTAATCATCATTTTATTTCAACTCATTATTATATAAAAAAGTTGATACTTTATAATATTTTTTACTGGTTTCATTTACGATGTTTATCAAAGGACGATTTTTTTCTAGCTAGGTGTCGTGTAGAATATTATGAAATCTTAAAAATTGTCAACTATAATGTAACAATGGCTCGAAAAAAGTCGATTATTATAGGTTGCAATATCTGAATGATTGTTTGGAATTAAATTGATTTTTTAACGATCCGAGTTAAATATTTCAACTTTCTGAATTTGTATGTGACGCTACGTTCTTCGGTATGAGTCGTTTTTAACAATTTTCTCCTTATAGACGCAACAGATAGAAGCAAGATTAGTACAAATCACCATAGAATATTTTTTAAGCTTAAATATTTAAATCGGCAAAATCGACGAGCTATATATTTAAACCATTGAAATTATTTTCATCAATAGATTATGATTTTTCTGGAATATATTACGAGGGTTGAATTTTCATTTTTATGATTTGAAATTTGAGTCTAGGATTTAACCCTCAATTAATTATTTTACAGACCTTTTCACAACTTAAAAACTCGCCCATTCTTTAGTTTTGGACTCTATTTTTACAATTTTTTTTGTTTATCTTTTTATTACCTAGGTTTAGGGTAGGGATATGAAGGTGGTGTAGAAACAGATCGACTTCGTTTAGCGTACCCCTAAACATTTTAATATTATTTATTGCATATATCTATAAAAATAAATAGCAATGAATCAAAACAGTCTCATTTATTCATATTTTTTTAATACACAGATCCTTAAAAATCATTCCCCCTGCTGTAGGGGGGGGGGGGGTTAAAATATACTTCAATATCAGTTAATAAACATGAATATACTGGTGTTTTTGTCTGTAGGGTTTGTCTGTTTATATCTAATAAACGCCAAACCAGCATTTTGTTTGGTATGACAAATGACCCCAGTGGGACGGAAGACGATTCCAAGCTAGGGCGAATATCTCGACGCGGCAAAGAGTTCAAGTTCAAGGCCACGTCACCGGGCAGCTGATGTATAAAGGTTTATCGTCAGTCGAAATAAAACATTTGCATATCATGATATTAACAAACAAAATTAGGAAAATATTTTTTTTAACGGAGTGGATACTAAAACAAAATGTCCAACAACAGAAAGTCCATCAAAAAAAACACTCAAAATTAAGCAACACCAAATATTTGTCAAAAACAAAACACAAAAGAAAACAAACGCCTCTATATACAATGTGCAAAGCTAATTTGATTCTTTGGACATTTTGTAATATTAGGCTTTTTGAAATCTTGGGTTATTACTTCCCCTTTTTCCACTTAATGTATTCTTTGCCAAAGTTATGTGAAAGTTAAAACTTTTCTTAATAATTCTAATTTGTCAAATTATTTCTATAAAACTTTTCAATGGTAAATTAAAAAGTTTAAATCTGTTAACTTGATTCTTGAACACTTATGTGTTTAAATCTGTTAACTTGAACACTTAAGCGTTTAAATCGAAAATAAAAATAAAAATATTTTTAATTTGTTAAACAACTTTTTGACACGTTCTGCTTTGCCAATTTCAAGTTAATTAAAAAATGTGTGTTAAATGGTGTAGGACAACTTGAATACTTGACTTTGATTTAAGTTATGATCATCACACTATAAAGGGCTATCTAGGAATTAATCAATTCCTGCAACCATGTTCAAGATGTTCATTAAAAATGGTCTCGAGATTGACAATACAACAATTCTAACCTGAGAGTTTCTATAATCCTGCAGAATTAGCGAACAGAACTTTGCTTTAAAAAAATACTCTTAACAAGAAGTCGTCTTCAATTTCTCATGGTCATTGGAACACAAGCTGTACCTGTATTTTGAGTATTCTATTTAGAAGTCGAAGGTTTTCTGTCTCAACCCCTCTCCAGTATCTATATAATAAGGAATACAAATTAAATAATCATTTAAAAGGACTTTCAGCGTAATGAGTATGAAATAGAAGGGAGATACAACTGACGCGGCCCACCCTACCTTGCTTTGCAGACAGTACTTCATTTGTATAAGAAATATTTAGAATAGGTTATTGTATACGTGGTAATTGTAATTATGCAAATGGAGTACTGTCTGCAAAGCATGGTAGGGCGGGCCGCGTCAGTTGTATCTCCCTTCTATTTCATACTCCTTGCCCTTCATGCAAAGATAGCAATGCCTGATTAACAACTTTATCCTTGAAAGCTTTGTTGGATAAAGTATGAATTAGATATAAATGTTTTATTTTTTCGACTGTCATGAAGAAAAAAAAATACTTGGGTATTTCTTGTTTATAAGAGGCAATGGAGAAATTCAAAATCATAAACACTTTGTAAGTCAGAAAAACGACAACTTCTTCCACATTTTTGATCAAATTAAAGTTTCAAGGATAACGTTGTAAATCGGGCAGGGTCACTGGAAATTACGCTTACAGTCTCTATAATGATAATGAAAGTCAGAAAATATTTAATTATCCTTTGTTACCACAACCTTTGAATATTTAAAACTTTGTTTACTTGATCGAACAGAGTCCGAATTTAATGAATTTAAGTTGCGCCTCAAATCCCTTAAAAACCGGTTTCAATCGAGCGACGGCTTAAATATTAAAAAATTAAATACAATTTTAAATGGAACCAACCATATTTTTAGCCACGGCTCAAATCTAAGCCGCGGCTCAAATTCTTTAAATTCGGCCACAGACTTCATAGTTTGAACAAATCGAAGGTCTACGACATGAGACTGTAAAAGATTTTGGGAGGGATAAAGTTCTTTGTTTTGAATTAAAATAGATCAGTTTTTACTTGCTGGAACATATATATTATAATTTATTAGGTGAAGAACTAGAAAAACTATTTGTTAACATTTAATTATTTTACTTTTTCTCCGACGGAGTTTGACTTCGTAATAAGGGCTTTACTTCCGGTGCGAAGGAGACGGAATTTCCTCTGAAAATATCAATAATTAAAGGAGTTTTCACTAAAAATATCAATAATTAAAGGAGTTTTCACTAAAAATATCAATAATTAAAGTTTTCACAAAAAATATCAATAATTAAAGGAGTTTTCACAAAAAATATCAATAATTAAATGAGTTTTCACTGAAAATATCAATAATTAAAGGAGTTTTCACTAGAAATATCAATGAGAGTAAAACTGAGGAATGACTTTTCTCTGAAAATATCAATGAGAATAAAACTAAGCAAGGAGAAGTTTTCCCTGAAAATATCAATGAGAATAAAACTAAGCAAGGAGAAGTTTTCCCTGAAAATATCAATGAGAGTAAAATTAAGCAAGGAGAAGTTTTCCCTGAAAATATCAATGAGAATAAAACTAAGGGAGGAGAAGTTTTCACTAAAAATATCAATGAGAGTAAAACTAAGGGAGGAGAAGTTTTCACTAAAAATATCAATGAGAGTAAAACTAAGGGAGGAGAAGTTTTCACTAAAAATATCAATGAGAATAAAACTAAGATAGGAGTTTAGTCTGAAAGGTTCAATGAGAGTAAAACTAAGGAATAAGTTTTCTCCAAAAATATCGATGAGAATAAAACTAAGAAAGGAGAAGTTTTCACAAAAAACTAAGATAGGAGTTTAGTCTGAAAGGTTCAATGAGAGTAAAACAAAGGAATGAGTTTTCTCTGAAAATATCAATAAGAATAAAACTAAGATAGGAGTTTAGTCTGAAAGGTTCAATGAGAGTAAAACTAAGATAGGAGTTTAGTCTGAAAGGTTCAATGAGAGTAAAACAAAGGAATGAGTTTTCTCTGAAAATATCAATGAGAATAAAACTAAGATAGGAGTTTAGTCTGAAAGGTTCAATGAGAGTAAAACTATAGAAGGAGTTTTCTCTGAAAATATCAATGAGAATAAAACTAAGGAACGATTTTCCACTTAATATATCAATGAGAATAAAACTAAGATAGGAGTTTAGTCTGCAACTTTCAATGAGAGTAAAACTAAGGAAGGAGATGTGGGAGGGAATGTCTACATTTATCGGAACGTATTAATACAGCTCACGAACTATAAGTTGTAAATAGAGATGGGCATCATTTTCGAAAACGATCGGAGATAATATCGTTTTCAGTTTTGTTTAGGATTTTTCAGAACTAACTAGCATTCGCTTTTAGTAAAAAAATGAAAAACTAACGAAATGTTATTTTTAAGCTTTCGAAGCAAAAATGATCGTTTTTGTCTAAATTTTATTCAAAATATATTTTAAATTGTTTTAAACCTGTCTGCATGATGAGGCTTGGCTCCACTGTTCACCTAAACAAATCAATCTTAAAAGAGATTAAGCAATTCGGTTCGTGGGTTGCAAGGTACTATTGTGAATTCGGTTCACGTGGGTTGCAAGGTACTATTGTGAATTCGGTTCACGTGGGTTGCAAGGTACTATTGTGAATTCGGTTCACGTCGGTTGCAAGTACTATTGTGAATTCGGTTCACGTGGGTTGCAAGGTACTATTGTGAATTGTTTGGTAGGAATGACTAGTCACTTGAAATAAAGTTGACAATCTATTATAGCCCACAATATAAAATATTGTACATGACTGCTAAACAAAAAGAAAATCTTGAAAACTTAGACAGTCTATGCCCGATTCGTTAGACATTTTCTAGCTATCATTTTTTGAAAAAAATGTACATGAAACTTTATTGAATGTTGTCTTACTAAAAGTTAAAAAGTTGTGGGGAGCTAAAACTTCTTGATATTTTCTTAAAAACTACTCAATGATAAGTACAGATGCCCTTCAGGTCGGTTTCATCTATACGTTAACGATCGTTAGCGAAGGGTCGTCGTTAAAGATCGTTAACGAAACGACGATTTTTAAAAAAACGATCGTTTTAAAAACGACCATTTAAAAAAAATGAACTTTTGGAAAAAACGATCGTTTCGTTTTCGATTTTTTGTCGTCGTTTTCATAACGAAACGATCGTTAAAAAAAAATGAAAACGTTAACATCCCTAGCTGTGACTACCTCGCCTAGCTTGCAGAGGCGCAACTAGGACTTTTGCTAGGGGGGGCAATATATTATTTTGTAAGGGTCAGGGTGGGTTAAGGGGGGGTTCCCCCCCTTTTCGAAAATTTTTCAAAAACAAAAGTGCTTTTTTAAGGGTTTGAAGTCGAAAAAAGGAAATTTTAAGTTGTTGCATGCAGATTTGGCTGTGTTCAATTCAAATCGATTTTTTGTTCTTGTGTTTTTACAAAATTTATACTTCCAACAGCTGTAAAATGAATGATATGAGTCAATTCATTGAATATATGTGTGCGAATCGCAAAAGAGCATTTTTTAACCTGGTAATTAATTACAGATTAAATTGCAAGAAATAATCATTTATAGTTTCTGGAAAAAAAACATAAAAATAATAAATTCAATCATCTACATTGAAAAAGGACAGATAATGTTACCTTTTCTCTTGAAGTTATTGAATTAATGATTGGTAACCATCATTCATAATCTAAATTCATTTTCGATTTTATAGAACTTCTGTCAAAGAAGATAAATCTTGTTAGTTATCAAATATGATAATCAGTTAGAAATTTGCCACAAACCCAAATATTCTAATTCCTAAATCTTTGCACCGAGTGGTGTAAACATTTGATATTTCAAACTTGGAATATTTTACCAAAAGAATTCAAAGTTTGATATCTACGACATTGGGTTGCAAAGATAAAATTAAAGGGATTAAAATTTCAAATCCTTTAAGGAGAATTAAAATGTACTTTAAAAAAAATATCTTATGATTAAAAAAGCAATATCTGTCCTTCAACAATGGAATATTCTAGGGCTCGTGGATGCATATTTACAAAGATATCTTGACAATTTTATCTCTTGGCAGACACTGTGCTCTGTCTCTATGAATATGAATTCTTGCTAGATTAGATAGTCTAGAATTTCCCATGCTTGATCTTAACCAAGTGTTTTACCTCCTGAGCATAGAAAAAGACCTCTGGCCTCACAGCTAAAGACAGGAAGTGTTTTTACTACTTTCAGCATGGGAAATAAGTTTGGGAATATTGAAGGATTTATTTCCTGCAAAGCTTTGTCTAGATTGTTGGAATGGCTTTGCTCCCTCTCATCTCTAGGTTGCTCTTGTATAGTAAAAGTTCGGTCTAGAAGAGTAAAGGATTTGGAAGTAAAGACTGATAAAACTCTAAACTCTCTGAAAGTTTACTCTTGAGATCAGCCAGGGTATGAGAAGCTATTTTCTCTGATAACAAGTAAAGCAAACCCATGGGCACAGTTTGTACTCTATAAACTCAACACAAATAAAATACAGTTTAGAACTTTTTTTTACATTAAATGTTTACAATAGCCTTAAGCCTTGAGAATTGAGAAAGATAAAAATATTTTTTTAAAACTAACTATAATATGATAAAATTTCTACAATAACTCTATTGGTTTTCTTATTCCTGTGATACTGATTTTCGCCATTCTTTCTTTCTTTTCATTCTGCAGGGGGGGGGCGCGCCCCCCCCTCTCAGGTGCTAGGGGAGGGTGCGCGCCCGGCCGCCCCCCCCTAGTTGCGCCTCTGCTAGCTTGGCTGGGAAATCGCAGCAAGATCAGCTAGAACATTTTTAACGAATCGGATTTCGAATCGAAGATAAAAATATGAATCCTTGAAAGTAAAATTACTTTATCTTACCACAGAAAACGCAAAATAGTGCGTGATGTTGCGTACGTACGTTTTATTAATACCTGAATTGTATGAAATAATCTCAAATTTTCATCCCTCACTTCCTCCCAGTATCTTCTATCAGCAGGGGTCAACCTGAACAAGTGTACAGTTGTACATAAACCTTCTATCAGCAGAGTCCGAAATTTGAAAGAGTATCGTTCAACGAAACTCATGAGTTTCCTTTTTGGGGTCTTAACTTTTTGTAGATTTTGATTTAAGAGTTTCGAAAAAATGGAGAATATGAAGAAACTAAATAAAATAATATTTCATAACAAAAATATTGATATCCACAAAACTGCCTAATCCCATTCGTAAAACCCGGGTTTTAAAACTGGTTTTCATAACGATACCCTGTCTTAAGTTTCGGGCTCAGGGGCCAACCTTTACAAGTGTACAGTTGTACACGTAAAATAAATATCTAGATCTTAAAAAAAATCTGATACCCTGTCTTAAGTTTCGGGCTCAGGGGCCAACCTTTACAAGTGTACAGTTGTACATAAACCATCTATCTGTCAGGGTCAACCATACAAGTGCACAGTTTTACGTAAACATTCTATCTGCCGGGGTCAACCTGTACAAGTGTACAGTTGCACATAAACCTTATATCTGTCGGGGTCAACCTCAAGTGTACAGTTGTACATAAACCTTCTATCTTTAGGGATTAACCTGTACAAGTATACAGTTGTACATAAACATTATATCTGCCGGGGTAAACCATAAAAGTGTACAGTTGTACATAAACATTATATCTGCCGGGGTAAACCATAAAAGTGTACAGTTGTACATAAACATTATATCTGCCGGGGTAAACCATAAAAGTGTACAGTTTTACATAAACATTATATCTGCCCGGGTAAACCTGTACAAGTTATTAATATATCCCAACCTCCAACAATCTACATACAGGGTGTACCACGAAACATGACAGTTGGTAAATAGTTTTGAATGTCGTTTTCTATACACTGTATTGATATTAAAGGCTGATTGCATTTTTTTTCGTTTAAAATTTTTTGCTCAATTTTACTACAATTTGACTCCTTTATAATATTTTTATCATTGTCTTTGGTATTAAACATCTTTACAAATTATAGAAGAAGACATTCTAAACTTTTTACCAACTAGCATGTTTCGTGGGACACCCTGTACCTCCAAAACCTGGTAAATTTAAGTTGAATAATTCTTTCTGAAAAACTTACCTTGGTCCATTCTGGCGAAGCAGCTAAAAAGTGATTTTTTTCTTAAAAAATAAGGATTTTTTCTGTTTATACATTTGAGAAGTTCACAGAAAAGAATAAGGGGGGGGGGCACAGATTTTCTTTTGTGTAAAATTTTACAAAAACTTAAGACATCCAAAAAGATGATTTTTTGTTCCTAAATTATTAATGTTATTTGATTATTATGTACATGGTGTCCCACCAAACATGACAGTTGGTAAAATGTCTTCTTCCATAACTTGTTAAATTGTTTGTTACCAAAGAGAATAATAAAAAATATTGTATGGGAGTCATCTTAAATAAAAATTTATTTCAAGGTAAAATATATTTGAGTAAAAGATTTTTTAAACTAAATAAACTGTCATGTTTCGTGGGACACCCTGTACAAAACGGGACAAAAACATCGAAATCTATATTTAACAATATATATTGAGATGAGTAATAAGGAATAACTAATAATATAAATTAGAAGTTCTTATAAGAATAAAACTAAAACGATAAATCAAATAGGGAGGGTAACCCTTCCGTTCTAAGCGAACGGTATGTTTTTGAACAGGAAAATCTCTTAACTGGTATGAAAGTTAGGATGTTGGTTAAATCTTGATACGCACAGGCAGCCGTAGTTCATTTGAATTTCCGAGCCGGGTCAACCTTTCCGGTCCCAGTTTGTACTGTATCGCCCGGACATTAGTTAAATAAAGCAGACACGCAATAAACTAGCCGGTGCAACAAGGTTGACGTGGTCAGACTTTAGGTTGAATTTACTTTTACTAAAGGGTCAGAGGAGCGTGTACGAACAATTATTTGATGAGGATGCCTGTTTCGTTAATTGCCCATTGATGCAGTGAGGATTTTAAAACTTGAGTTTGCAAACATACTACGTATATAATAAGATTTATGTGTGTATTGATTTCTTTAGAAATGACCGGTTTCAAACTACTCTCACTATATAAACTGTGTTTTCTTTAATTCTTTATTCAGATGGTGTTACTTGGTAGAAGAGAGTTTGGATGTTTAAACGAATGTCATCTATTAAGAAAGAAATCAAAGTAAGTTTACATCAGCGTCCATGGTTGGTTTAGGCCGTACTGAAGCTATACTCAGGATCCAGGCATACATACGTGCGTGCGCGCAGCAATTGTACATATTATATATAGTAAAATGGGAATAGATCAAATGCCTAATTTCTGTCATGCTTTGTTTTGATTTGATTATCACGGTAATAATTGTAAAAATCTGTGGAAAAGTTGTTGAAGAAAAACAAAGTTGTTTACTTGAATATAACCTTGGAATTCAAGATATTTCGTGCCTTCCTTCTCAGCCGACATTTTTAATAAATCAGCACAAAATAAAATATTTAATGTAAACTTTTTTCCTGTTCAAAAATATAGAAAAAGAAAAATAAATGTTCTAAAAAATGTTTAACAAAATAAAAGTTGGAATTTTATGTAAAGAATAGTTTTCAGCAAGAAATTAAAAATAAAGATGAAACCTAAGATGACCATTTGAAAATAACTATCAATATGTATTTAAAATAAAGTTGTTTTTATAGATTCCGATAAAAACTCTGTAATAAAAATAATGACATAAAAAGGGTTGTGGAAGATAAAATTTAAATATCTATTCTTGAGTGGTATGCAATTAGAGGAATTCGAGCTTTGCTTCAATAATGCAATAAAACGTCATGCAAAAATGGAATGACAAACCTTTAGTAAAAAATCTTACTTTTGAAGGATAAACTGCTTGTGTCCTACTCCCCATTGTTAATACATTTTTAAAGATATTTTTCTGAAATTTTATGTTTTTAACTTTTTTTTTTTTTTTTCTGAAATTTTATGTTTTTAACCTTTTTTATCTTTAAGTATAATTGGCTTGTAAAACATCCTAAATATTTTTAAAAATTTTTAAAGTCACAATATTACGTTGTCCAAAGGTTTGATGTTAAAATGAAATTATATTTCAGATAAACTTCTGAAGTTAAATATGAATTTTCAAGTTTGTAATATTTATAATTATATGTAAAAAAATACTTTTTGTATTAAACCCATGTCAACAATCTTGTAACTATGATATACGTAAAATAAATATCTAGATCTTAAAAAAAATCTTGTAATATTGTAATATTGTAATATTGTTAAATTCTTTCTTACTTCTTATCTAACTTTATTCTTTTCAGCCAAAAAGCGTTATCTAGGATTGACCCTTAGTTCGTGCCAAATTAATAATTACCCTAGACTCAATTCACTCAATTTAATTAAGCGTGCGCCAGCGCGTATAGACAACCTAGTATAACATTGTGAATTTCTAATTCTTAAATTTAATCGTTGTTTTCTTCAGTTCTTTTTTGACAATTAACTTTAAAAACCTCGTAAGTACTAAAATTACACAACTTATTTCCCGAGGCTGATAAGACTTAAGAACTTAAAAAGGCTAGGAAGGTCATTGAAAACATTTTATATTTTGTACATTAGTCAAATTTCTTAAAGATTTCTAAAACCCTAGAACTCTAGAGTATATTTACTTTATGGTTAACTGCAGCTCCCTGGGTAAAAATTTCCTCTAGTTTCTTGAATAAGTTTCTACCCTGGGTAAAATCAAATTTCTTGTATTTTTATAAAAACTAAAAGAAATAACAGGCCCAGAATCAGAAATTGTCTGAACCTAACCTATAACCCTCAATAAATACAAAAATTAAACAGCTGGGGAATGTCCGATATTGCAGTAGCCAGTAAGTCCGAAAGTTGGTACAGGTCAGAAATTCCGTAGCCGGGGGATTGTTGCGCTTGTACGATGTAACATACCCCTATCCTGGGTACACCTAAAACTTAGGGTCTATCCTGGGAATTTTACTCTAGAGTCGATCGTTCCCAGGGTGTTGTAGGTCCAAGAAATTAGAACTAGGGTTAACTCGAGAGTAAATTCCAATTTACTCAGGGTAACTCGACTGAGAAATTGGCCTATTAGCGTACATTTCTACGCAATAGTTAAGGGATGTTCAATTAGGATATAATGCAGTCATCGACAAATGATGGATTTCTTTGGAAACGAGTTTTGGAACATCCCTACACGGGAAAAGTTAGAAAGGTTAGAAAGCGCGTCCCTACACCAGGGATCGAACTTTTTGAAATAAATATTAGAGAAATTTTAGATTTTTAAGCGGAGAATTTAAAATTGGTTTTTATTTTTTTGTATATTTTCTGTTATTTTAATTTTTCACGTGAACTAAATTAAATAAATATTGTAAATAAAAGACGACCCCTCTGCGACAATATGAAAATTTACCGCGAAATAAGTCGCGGCAATTTATCAATTTTTGATTATTATAAACAAAACAAATAGTAAATATATGGGATTTGATCGAAGCTGAATGAAAACGATTGTATTTTTACTACCGCATCTTTGTGAAGTGTATCCTTGGTATATTCCTAGAGAACGATTTTTGGACCCCCCCCCCCCCCCCCTCCTATCAATTTTGTACATGGATCTTAAAGAA